CGTCGTAAACCATCTCTACGAGTCTCTCGTCTCTCGAATACGATCTGATATTACCGCGATCGTATTATATAAAATATGGCTCCTCTATACACGCTGTAGACTGTTTCCCGGAGAACTGATAGAAGTAAGGTCGCCGGAGAGAAATGAAAAAATCACGCCGAGAGTCATCGATATTCGCGAGAGGAAATGAATAATCGACGAATAGGTATCTTGTAATGAATTCAGTCTGATAAGAATAATATTCGAGTTATCGTTGTTACTTTGCAGCGGAAAACTTGTCACGAATCGCGTCTGTGCTGAGAGTCAGAAAGGGTAGATATCTTTAAGTAATTCGAAATGCAATTATAAAGATTGCGTGTTAAGTTAATTTTAAAATTTAAAAGTAAATTTATAGGATAGATTTACGAAAACAAGATTAATAAAGTTTGCGGTTGTTTGTGAAGTCAACAATTATCGGACATACTAAAATGAACAGGGAAAACGACGTCTAACGACGAGAATAAGTCATCTGTATCGCGCGTTGACTTGCACATTTTCAAGTACAACGTCGTACAATTTCGTTTCATCAAGATAGCCCTTGCCGACGCAAACAAAGTGCTTCCAACACGAAGTAATTAATTACGGTGATCTGATTGCATGCGATTAATCCTGCCGACTTTCGAGCGGATCATTAATTAAGGGTGAATGAATGTCTCGGAGGGGGGGACATGTAGGTACTCCCTCGAGAGGACACGCTCATTTATTTGGAATAATTTAGTTTAAATGAGTAAACCGTCCGCGTGTTTCTTAAAGTTCACGGTCGATATCGTAGCCTCGAGACTCGATTTGCAGCCTTGCAAGATATGATCGATCGTTCTATTAATTCGCGAGACGAATTATTACTTAGCGATATTTACACGCAATTTACATATTATTATTTTTTTTTACTTTTATATACACTGTACACGGTATCTCTCATTCATCAGCGAGACTGAGCTTTTAATTGCTTCGCGAAACACCTGCCGCAAAGGTGTCTGATTCGAAGAGCCTGGATAAAATTCGGAAGAATAGATAACGGATTCCTTTCGCACTAAACTTGTCGGCGAGCTCTCCGGAGAAATTGCTGTACTTTGTACGTATAAACAGCAGCGGGATGTAATTATTATTCGGTACAACGGGCGGGGGCGGGTTTTCCTCGGTCTCGTAACTCCGTGCTTGCGACGACGATTTTTTATTTATACGGCTCTTGTGCCCCCTCTCATACTAGGAGTTTTCTCGCCGGATTCTCTTCTCTCCGTCCCATCTTGCGTCCAATTATTCCGCGCGCCTCGCCGAAGAAAAAGCGCGGCGAAAGCATCGCTTACGGGTCCTCTCCTTCGCGTTCTCCACCTCCTCGTCGCTTTCGTATTCACGAGCTTCGCGAGCGAGGTGAACGCTTAAAACGTGCGGCAACGTTAGGCGGATGTTTTAATTTGTTTGCGCCACGTCGAGCTAAACCGCGTAACCGCCGCACTCTGTTGCGCATAAAAAGCCGGCGCGCGATCGCCACCATCACCACCCATCGTCCAATCTCTCCGAGGAATTCCTACTTTGTTATTTAATTATACGATCACGGCTTCCGGTGTATTCACATTTTGATTATGAAGTAAAAGGAAGAGGGAGGAAAAAAAACGTTCTCTCTCGGAACCCTCTTTCGTGGCGTGATTTCGCCATTTCCCTCCCCCTCCTCCACACCTGGCAACCTTTGTCCATAAGATCAAGCGGTTTAATAACATGATTCAAGGAGCGGCAACGGTCGGTACATTAAGGTCAGGTGGGTCGAGGTATATAAAGATAATAGCCCGCCACCGATCGATCCATCGGCGATAGCTTTTGATAGATCCGAGTACGATGTTGTATACTATGTAAAGCTAGTAGATTGCAACGAACGCGCGGTCAGTTCTGTCAAAAAGAATACAGAGCGCCCGGTGATGGATGAATTTAAATATGTCATCTATTTAATCAATTAACATTACCGGACTGAGAGAAAATTTTGGAACTGGAAGAAATTGATCCGAAAAATTCACAAAATTTGCCGAGACGTCTACAGGAACGATTCATCGGAGTTTCTTCTCAACAAATAAAGATTCGCCGCCGAGAGAGGGGTCAATTTCGATAACGCTGTCGTATCGGTACGACGAGATGCGATGCCTTAATGATGAGATCGGAAAGAGCGCGAGGCGGCCGTGCTCTCGCACACACGGCGGGGTCAAGGCGGGGTCGCGGAGCGTAAAAATAATAATCAATCGAACGACCGGTAAGTGAGAGCTCGGCAATTACGCGGTGGCGGCGGTGCCTGTGCTGCGGTTTGCCCCGGCCACGGCCGCAGGCGAGCTAGCGGGTGAGATCGGGGAGAGAACTTCCTTCTACCGCCTTTAATTCGCCCCCCGTCTCCCCTTCGCGCGGGCGCGCGCGCTATCATAACGTAACAACGCGAGACTCCCTCGCTTTATATTATTAAAAGTTGAAATTCCGGTGGGAGAGCCGGAGCGATCTTGCGGCGAGCCGTTCTACAGGCATCCTCTCTATCCTCCCTTCCTCTCAATCTCCACTTTCCTCGAGCTTCGCTCGATTCGCGCGTCTTTTTCTCTTTGCCCCTTTCCCCCCTCTCCCCTCCCCCTCCCCCCGGTAAACTCATACAAACGTTTATTGGCGCGATACTCTGTGTTCATAACGGCCGCTGGTAGCAATCGTGTTATAGCTCTCCCGCGTTCCCGGAGCATTCCCATGGATAATCGTATTACCATCTATCTTGTACGCCGCCTTGAGATGTCGAATCGAGACTCGAAATACACGCGGCTCTCGTCTTCCGCCTCTTAACCGCGAATAACGATAACTGCTCCCCCTCGAAAGTTTTCTCGCGGTCGACGTGAAAACGCCGGTGCGTTTCTTCTCACACGTTTATCATAATTCGACACGTATGTAACCGTGTCGTCCAGAGATTAAGGGATTAGAGAAATACAAGCGATATCGAGTTTTAATTAAACCAAAATTTACCGTTTATCGCCGACTTTCATTGCCGAGATTTCACTCGTTCGCGATGTACGGCGAGTATATGGTCTCGGTACATCGGCGTTTCGACAATGAGTTTCTCTCGGTTGTCGATCCACCTGACAACCCGATATTGTCCCAAGGTGGTAAAACTGTCCATCGAAGAGTAAAGAGATACGGAGCGAGTACGCGCGTGTGTGCGAGCGAACTATGTGAGTTACGCGACGCGTCCAATTGCCATTTACTCGCAGATTGATTGAAACGCTCCAACGCAGCACCGACGTGGCTGTTAGAGTGTTTTTAAACGAAACAGAGGAGTTAGCAATAGAATTTTTTGTAACGAAAAGCAGGAGAAAATATGGGAAAATTAAAAAACAAAATTTGGGAAATAAAAATATATCAATCAACAGATTATTAGATAAATCGTTAATTATAATTCACGATGGAATATTTCTTGATTGTTTAACAATTTGTTTAAAGTAATTAAAAAATTTCTAGAGTTATTTTATTTTAGAGTTATTTTATTTTATTTTAATTAATCTAATATTTATGTTCCATATTAAGTTCCTAATAAATTATGCTTTTCCTCTCTATATCTCTCTTTCTTTTTTCTCTCTCTCTCTCTCTCTCTCTCTCTCTCTCTGTTTCGTGATAACCTATATTGATTTAATCAATGTAAAAAAATCACACACAGAATTCTTTGCATTCCACACTTTGATAGAATCTCGTTTACGCGTGGAATAAACTGTTCGGGGAATATCGATCACAAGGCGGGATATTTTTATGCTCGCGATATGTTTCTTTTATTTTACGGTTAACGACGCGGTAACCCCCTTGCGGGGACGATCGGCGGGGAATGATCCGGCGCGGTTTTTTTTCGCGCGATTACGTATTATGCTAAACACGCGAAAATGGCTTTTTAAATGAAACATCTACATTTATGTAGTCGACGCGGCGTCCACGATCCGCGTCTCGACCCTCGCGGGACGGTCGCCTGGAACATCATGGTGGAACACGAGAGGAGCAACGGCGAATTAAATGCAATTTTCGTCCACCGAGGCATGCATAACAAATTGTCGAACGTCTTTATACTTAGAAAACTGCGCGCGACATTATGCACGGATCGGGGATAGGGGGGGG